ATCAATAACTTGCATCCCTAATTTATACAGGAATTAAATTAATTTATATTTACTCATATTCATGTAATCAAGTGATTTAACGATTTGGCCGATTAATCGAAAAAAAAATCAACAGATTAATCGATTATTAAAATAATCGTTAGTTGCAGCCCTTATCGATTCTGCTGGCTTCCTTAGAATGATTTTTGTGTACAGTGTCCTGAGACGATGTATGTTGTGACTTATACAACTGAATTTAACTGAATTTCARCTGCTGTTGTTCCGACTCACTGAAGTCTGATAAACTTAAGAAAGACTTTATTAGATAAAAGTCAATTCGGTCAGTAAAAGCAAAAGTGTGACCCATGCTGGTAACTTTAATCAGAGCGAGCACAGGCTTCAATGCAAATAAGTGAAAATACATATATTTTTAGTTGTAATTGAGGTTTGACTAAAAATAAGACCATAAAGACGCATCTAAYAATCTGAGTAACCAAAATGCCATAATTTTCCTAATCTACTKTTAAATTCMTTTTTTTAAAACAGCTATGTTTTTTTAATGAATCCATTGTCTTGTAGCTGTTAAAAATGACTTTGAAAGAACATTTTCCTCTGCTGGCTGTCGTAGCGTGTGGAAATCCTTTCTTATAATGTTTGGTGTTGTTGTGAAGTTTGAGCTGATATCCCTGACGTCACTCCAGACCAGTAAAATAGTTTTCAAACCAACACTCATGTATAAAACTAGCCTGGTGCCAGGCGATAAAATGCCAAATTTGAAAAATAATAAATAAATAAATGAATAATGAATTACTGACACTTGAAAAATTGTAATTCTTCACTGTGGCTCATTTTGTCAACATGCGTCATTTGTCTGCCATTTTTTTTTAATCTCACTGTAATAATGATAAAAATCTCACATGTGAAACATACAAAAAAAAACCCAGTGTGGATCTTTTAAGCTGTGCTGTGAAGATAAGTTGWACAGTTTACAAAACATGACTTCATGAATGATCAAAATCTGATGTCGGTTTGTTTTGATTTCTTCAGCCTGATCTAAAGCAGATTTTGTACACTTTGACTATTTTTCTTTAAAAGTTAGTTACAAAAAACAGTAGGAGGATTAAAAGCCTTTCATGCTGGAGTTTTAGACTAGAATTATTTGAAATGGTAAATGGTCTGAACTTATATAGGACTTTATCAAGTCCCTATGGACTCCAAAGTGTTTTAAACTTCCTGTTGATAAATGAATGGGTTTAATCTGTACTGGTCAAAACTTGATCCCCAGCTACTACCACACCAAAATTTAGCTCAATATCTGTACAGCTGACTGAGTTGTAGCCTATTTTTTAAGGGTCAGTTGTCTGTGGCGGCCATCTTGAATAAAGGTGGACTCCAAGATGCACATGCAATAATAACTGAAATATTGTCCAAACAACAATCAGGTAAAAAATAACCTCTTTTAGAAGAAAAGTCCTTCAGACATTAAAGAATTTTAATATTATATTAACAATATAAAGTTACAGAAGAGTTTCTACATGACAACCTTCAGATGTGATAATAAACTTTTCACTCTAACAGAAATCACAGAAGTGTTGTGCAGTGAGGGTTCTGCAGCCTGTGGAACTCCACCTACCCGTGTGAGATCCATGCCCAGCTTCAGCTGCGACAGCAGGTGTAGGATGACGCTTCGCTCCTCCTCCACGGCGCCCAGGTCTTCCTCTTTGTCTTCAAACAAGTCCTCCACCTCATCCTCTGGATCGATGTCCTCCTGCTCCTGACACAAGGAAAGGAGGTCAGTTAAAAAGGACAAACTCTAAGCGTTTAAATGCATAAAAAAGGAAAGTCTAACTTTCAGACATGTTGGAAGCAGCTGCTCCTTTAGTTCTGTTTTCTTACCCCAGAGAAGCTGCAGGACTCCGGGGTGCTCAGCTCGAGCTGCTCCCCCTCCAACAGGCCCTCTCCCCCCGTCGTGAAGCTGCCCAGGGAGCTGCCGCCGTTCTTCAGGATGTCGGGCAGTTTGGGCTCCAGCCACTCGATGGTGGGCCCCGCTGTGGACGCAGAGGAGGGCACATCATCAGGTTCAGAGGTAGTCATGATTCTAACCCCCCCTCCTCCTCCCGAGGCCCCCCCTTGACACTCGGCTCTACAGTGGGACCACGGTCCACCTGCCGAACAGGTGGCTCTTCCTTCAACCAAAAAGGGTGTAACCCAACTCCTGCCAGCAGGACAGGTATCAGAATACCCCGGCTCCGCCCCCCTTCCTCTGATTGGTCAAATCTTCCCACGCTTGCTTTTTAGCACATGCAGAGGGGAGGCAGACCTYATTCAAATTCACCCTGTGCGTCATGGGACGATTAAATCTGACTGGCTGCTGCTGCGAGTCGGCCCTGATGAAATATGCATCGAGTAACGAGATCTGCTGCTCGAGAAAAAAAAGAAAAAGAAAAAAGAACGGGGACACCTTTTTACCATTTTAAGTGATCCAGAAAAGAAATATAGCCGCGGATCCAGTTTTACAGTATGTTTGTCGGTCTGAAGCTGAGTTTCTGCCAAAGCCAGACCTCAAAAGTGTTTCAGTTAAATATTTAACCATCTGAGATCTAATTACCTTTCAGACAGGCAGTGAGAAAAGGTACAGTTTCCTATCAATAATGCAGAATAATTCCACTGTCCGCTTATCCCTAGATTACAGTGTTCATTTTAGATTTATGAACTTTTCCAAACCCAAATTTCAACTTTTTCAACTTCAGCTCCCCCCCACCCCCCGACCCTTTTTAATTAGCTAATTAACTGTTTGTAGGGAAATTTAATTTAATCTAGGAATATCATTGACTTTAAATGCATCTTGGAAAGAAACTGTCCAATGTTAGGATTATTGTCACTTGAACACTGCAGTTTAAGGAGTTTGTTGTTTTTGAAAAACAAAGTGAAACTAGACAGCTGTTACCAGTCAAAAAACTTTCTCAAACTGAACTGTGTCACTATCCAACCTTTAAAAATTAGTTATTCACTGTAAACTCACATGCAAATCACTCTCCTTTCCRAAGGTTTTGGAGCTCAAACAATTTACAGTTTGAAGTGAGAAATTTCCATTTCTGATGAAATATTGTTCAGGTTTATTGCAGCGTGAATACTTCTTCTACCAGATCTTAAAAATATCATTGTAATTTTATTTTTAAATATACTTTTAAAACTCCATTAGATGGTTCTCAAGTGACGCAATGACTTGCGGATCATGTCATCAAATTGTACTATACAGGAGTTAGAGACAATGAAAGTGAAACACCTGGTTTTAGACCATAACATCCTTTCAGACAGCTTCCTCTTGYGTCCACAGTTAATCCTGTTGGATGTGGTTGGTCCTTCTTGGTGGTATGCTGACATTACCCTGGATACYGTGGCTCTTGATACATCACAAAGACTTGCTGTCTTGGTCACAGATGCTCCAGCAAGACGTGCACCAACAATTTGTCCTCTTTTGAACTCTGGTATGTCACCCATAATGTTGTGTGCATTGTTATATTTTGAGCCAAACTGTGCTCTTACCCTGCTAATTGAACCTTCACACTCTGCTCTTACTGGTGCAATGTGCAATTAATGAAGATTGACCACCAGGCTGGTCCAATTTAACCATGAAACCTCCAACAATAAAATGACAGGTGTTTCAGTTTCATTGTCTAACTAGGGATGGGTACCGAATTCGATACTTTTATAAGTACCGACTGAATTCTGTCGGTACTACCGAGTATCTATTCACGTAACATCAAACTGTACCATGTTTCGGTACCTAAACGCATCATTGTGACCGTATTGGCGTAAGTGTGGTGAGTTTTCCATGCTTGTCCTGAACGCAGCATTGCGCAAGAACGTAATGACGTCAGCAGCCGCTGGTTCAGTAAACAGAGTTCAAGTCTGAACGTAGCTTGAAAGCCTTGCAGCTCCTGGAGTGAAACTCATCGAACAGACCGCCTGCCGCCTCTGAATTATCTGGTGGATTAACTATCTTGTGAGCATGACGTTCACTTGCTCAAAGTAAATAAAGTACCGCCACTTTCTTTATTTCATCCACCATTAAACAGAGACCAGCAGAGGAAAACAACAGGCGCTTCCCAACAGTCCGAACACGTCTGACCTGAAGGAGCACAAGCAGCTAACTTGGAAGTGCTGGAGCGTTTTGGATGTTCAAAACGTAGCTTGAATAACTTTTATTTATTTTAACTGCATCCTCTTTTGTTTATTTGATTTAAAYTTATTTGCCTTCCATGGACCTCCATCACACAATTTTTCTTGCGGGGAAATGACATCAATAGAAACACGTGGAGCTGGATTTTAATTTGTGCAACAAGACAAAACAGTCTTGTTGTTTTCAAGAGTTTTCACCTTAAAGAAACAACTGATGTTACAATACAAAGAGTTGGATGTTGTCTTGATATTAAAATTTTATATATTGAGAAATATGCAAAAAAAAAAGTTTATCATTAAAAAAACAACACACTCAAAGTCCCAAAAACTGGTACTGTTAAGTACCGGTACTGATTCCCAGGGACTGGATATTGGAAGCGAATCGATTCAAATGTCAAAAGGTACCCATCCCTATGTCTAACCCCTGTATGTGCATGCTAACAGAAGAGAGTAGTATTATTTACACAGCGGTAACCCCAGTGTACTGAATACGGTGCAGTCCCCCCACTCTTGCTTCCAAAATAAACGCACACATGTAGGATCTGTGACAGACATCATAAGATAATAAACATTAACTCAGCGCCGGTTTGACTGTTTTATTTTATTGGTGTCATGATTTATGACAGTAGTGTGGTGTGTTCTGGTGGCACCTGTCTGCCTTGTTCAACAATCGTTTTTTTCTTTCTATTTTTACAGCTAGCTTTTGTGATTCTTTCACACTAGTTTCATAGCTACAAGCTAAATGCTAGCTCACAAACATGACACGACCAGTAAAATAAGTACACAGGGTGAAGACGTCAGTGAGAAACATCTATTGTAATTTTTTTAATATTCAGAATGCAACAGAACACTGATGTTTCTCCTGACTGACTAGATTTTTGTTTAATTGATCCACACCTGAAAAACACTAAAATCATATTCTTATACCCAGGCTGTGTAGAAACACAGAGGTTAGTTTCAGAGCAGCTGAGAAAAGCTTTGGTTTCACTTTTGGAACTCAAAGTTTAAATGTTAACCTAAAAGAAAGCAAGAAAACAAAGCCGTACCTCCCAGGGCGTTCCTCTGCCTGGCCACCTGCTGCAGGTGCAGGATGTGCAGGCACTCGTTCAGGCAGCTCATGGTGGCCATTGAGGTGGCCTTCAGCATCAACAAGTCCTGGTCTAAGGGGGAGAGGCCCGGGGCCGCCGGCAGCCCCTCGATGCTCTGGATCAGGTCTTTGTGYTGGCCCTGGGCCTGGCTCATCATCTGGACACAATCAGAATCGGGTACATTTAGAGCCTGGTAGGAGTGGTTCAGGTGTAACTATATACAGCGGGTAAAATAAGTATTGAACATGTCAACATTTTTCTCAGTAAATATATTACTAGAGGTGCTAATGATATGAAATTTCCACCAGATGTCGGTAACAACCCAAGTGATCCATACATACAAAGAAATCAAACCATAAATGTCCAGAAATGAAGTTATTTATAATAATGTGGAATGGCACAGGGAAAAAGTATTGAACACATGAAGAAAGGGAGGTGTAAAAAGGCATGGAAAGMCAAGACACCAGCTGAACTCTCTCAGTAATTAGAAAGCAAGCCTGCCCCTTGTCAGTGCAAGTTAATATCAGCTGGTTCAGTCCCAAATGATGGCCAGGTATCACACAAGAACCATCTGATGATGGGTWAAAGTAAAGAGCTCTCTCAAGACCTTCACAACCTTATTGTTGCAAAGCATAATGATGGCATCGGTTACAGAAGAATGTCTAAACTTCTGAAGGTTCCAGTGAGCACTGTTGGGGSCATAATTCAGAAGTGGAAAGAACATTATTTCACCATAAACCGACCACGACCAGGTGCTCCTCGCAAGATTTCTGACAGAGGAGTGAAAAGAATTATCAGAAGAGTTGTCCAAGAGCCAAGGACCACTTGTGGAGAGCTTCAGAAAGACCTGGAATTAGCAGGTATGTTTGTTTCAAAGAAAACAATAAGTAATGCACTGAACCATCATGGCCTGTATGCACGCTCACCACGCAAGACTCCACTGYTGAAGAAACAGCATGTTGAAGCTCCTTTAAAGTTTGCTGCACAACATTTAAACAAGCCTGTGTAATACTGGGAGAATATAGTCTGGTCAGATGAGACCAACATTGAACTGTTTGGATGCCAGAATACACATCATGTTTGGAGGTCAAATGGCACTGCACATCAGCCCAAAAACACCATACCAACAGTGAAGTTTGGAGGTGGGAACATCATGGTGTGGGGCTRTTTTTCAGCATATGGTACTGGCAAACTTCAAATAATTGAAGGAAGGATGAGTGGAAAAATGTACAGAGACATTCTTGATARAAATCTGCTTCCATCTACCAGGATGATGAAGATGAAACGTGGCTGGACATTTCAGCAAGACAATGAGCCCAAACACAAAGYCAAGGAAACTCTCAGTTGGTTTCAGAGAAAGAAACTAAAGCTGCTGGAATGGCCCAGCCAATCACCTGACCTGAATCCAACAGAAAATCTATGGAAAGAACTAAAGATCAGAGTTCATAGAAGAGGTCCACGAAACCTTCAAGATTTGAAGACTGTTTGTGTGGAAGAATGGGCCAAAATCACACCTGAGCAATGCATGCCACTAGTTTCTCCATACAGGAGGCGTCTTGAAGCTGTCATTGACAACAAAGGCTTTTGTACAAAGTATTAGATAAATTTCAGTAAGTGTGTTAAATACTTTTTCCCTGCGCCATTCCACATTATTACAAATAACTTCATTTCTGGACATTTATGGTTTGATTTCTTTGTATGTATGGATCACTTGGGTTGTTRCCAACATCTGGTGAAAATTTCATGTCATTAGCACCTCTAGTAATATATTTACTRAGAAAAATGGTGACGTGTTCAATACTTATTTTACCCGCTGTACATATTAGCTCATTAGTGTGGCAGCCATCTTCAACTGGACTGACTCAAAGGCTGTGTCCAAATGCAGGGGCTGAGTTCTTCGAAGGACCCGACCTACCTTCATGGAATATTTTGCTAACGGACACAGCTGACTCCAACAGCACCCCAGAAACGATTAGTTGGCACTCAGAGCATGTGTTGAGGATGACCCTCAGTTACTACCACTCCATGTTTTAACTCTGTCAAAATGAATGAGTTGTAACGATTTTTTTTGTGTTTGCTGAGATTGTTTTGCTGTGGCAGCCATCCTGAAATCAGAGTGTCTCTGAAAGTTGCTCAGCTCTAGATTTAGTGTTTTATATAATTTGTCCTAAATGCTAAAGATACCATTTGGTGGAGGTGATAATTTAACTAAAGGCTTATAAAAATAACTTAGCTTTAAAAGCTGCTGTCAGGTTACTGTTGGAGAAAACAGTTTTCCTTTTTAAATTGAGACAACTGAGAGACTGTAATATTTAGACAACTGCGCCCCCTGGTGGACCCTCTATGGATAGATCATTTTATTGCTTTAATCTCTTTAGTTTACACTTAAAACATTTACAGCCCAACAAGCTGAAGTGTTGGCTTATTGTAATCTTTATGACTCATAGAAACTACTTCATTATTACACATTACATTACATCACAATTTTGATCTGTCTGTTATCAAAACATTTCATSAACCACAGGACACATCTACAATTGATTCGCTTTTGGAGTCAACCTGATTCAAGATGACCATTACTGCCAGCCCACAAACACAAAAAGGGCAATAATTCATCTAAATCTGACAGACATTGAGYAGAAATTATATACGGAGGTTTATACAGCACTAACAGATCACACACACTTTCTGCTTTTCCAGCCTTTTATACAGCAAAATATTCAGCTTGTTGAAGAGGGTGCTGTGATGATTATTTTGTACCTTTGAGTTTTTATGATATTTATTTTCACCTTTAGAATCATTAAAAAAACAACTTTAAAATCTGCATCAGCAGATTCTGCTCCTTTTAGCTTAAGCAACTCTGTTGGTGAGGTCATTCAGCACTCACACTGGATTTTCACAGTTTATGGAACCTTCTGTAAATCAGCATAGTGTTAGTTTATAGTCACATTTAGATCGCTGCCATTCTAAATAAAAAGGTTAAAAACTTTGGAGCCCGAAAATCGAGCTTGTTTTAAGTCCCATGACATGGAAGCGCTGGTGTGTTGTACCTCTCTGGCGTCCACCAGGTGGTCCGGCATCATGGACCTCTTGCTGGAGTAGAGCGACGAGCCTTTGTGGCCGTGCGCCCAGCCGAACAGAGAGTTGGCRTTTTGGCTCGGCCGCCGCAGAGACATGGGGGAGCTGCCGCTGCCTTGAGACGCCACCGAGTAGCTGCGAGAATCGGGAGGGGGGTTACTCTGGGAGAAAAACAAACAAACATAAAAGTACAGTTAGTAGGGCTATGTATTGGCAAGAATTTGGCGATACGATACATATCATAACAGAGGGGTCACGATACGATATATCCCGATATATTGGGATACTGTAAGCAAGGCAATATATCGCGATATATTGCGATTTTTTTGTCCAAAAATTCTATTAAATAAAAACCTCTTACTGAAAAAAAAAAAGAAAAGCTAATGTTTACTTACAATGCTAATGCTACCCTTACTCTCTGGCACTCAAGAGGTAGAGGAGCCAAATGGCTGGCTCACTGCTGCCAACTAGTGGTCAGAGGCTGAACTACAACATAAAAATGAATGGTGGCAAGAAGGTTGACATTTTAAACCTTAATTAAAAATCGATACAGGGATTTAGAACATCGATACAGTATCGCAAAATGAAATATCGCGATATTTCAGTGTATCGATATTTTCTTACACCCCTAACTGTTAGAATAAAAACCAGTTTGTGTTAGATTTGTCATCTTTAATAGTTAGTTCCCTGAAACATGCACGGTACAAAAAAATAGGACAAGCGTTTCTTTGAGCAAGTCATTTTCACACAAGACCAAATCCTTTCAGGCCAGAGAGTCAGAAATCTAACTTCTGACTAAAGAACACACAGAACCTGTTGGTGTTTTTAGTTCTCATGCGTCTGGAGATAATTAAAGCAGGCCATGGGCCGTCCACAGATCGATCCTCAAATCAATACGAAAGACCACTGAACACACGCGCCGAGTAAAACCTCTTCTATTTTTACAAAAACGCTGCTCGATTTCTCCTTTGGAATGCAACGAGGGTAAACAGGAAACCAAAACCCGTCCGGCTCACATTCCCTCACACACAGGTTTGTTTTTATATCCCCGTGGGGACCGTGGATTGACTTCCATTCTTTTTTTTTTTGTAATTTTATAGCCTAACCCTGACCATTTACCCTAAAATTAACCTCACAGGACCCTAAAGCTAACCTAAACTCAATTTACACCTTGGTCCTAAACCGAACCCCCCACCTGAATTTAGCATCCTTATCCTCGGGGACCAGGCATTGGTCCCCACGAGGTGGCATTTTTCTGGAAAATGGTTTCCATGATGTAGCAAAAACATACCCACACACACACCCACACCCACACACACACCAAACTGAGGACTTTGTATTGACTTCCATTAACTATATTTATGTCTAATCCAGACATTTTCCCTAAAACTAACTATTACTGGTCTATAGCTAACTCTAAYCTGAACCAAAACCATTAAASCTAACTAGTAAAGCCCAGCAGAGCTGCAAACAATGTGAGGACATTGAAGAGGTCCTCACTTTACATCAAAGACCTCACTTTGATA